CTTATAATTTTGTAGAATCACATGCCTTTCTTTAAGCAAGGCATTCATTCAATGAGTGTGCAAACAGAGGCTGAAGACCCTTTGGCAGGAACATAGAGGTAGGAATTTATGACTGCAGGGTTGGGCTGAGTGACCCAATAAGCCCCATGCAAGAAACACAAACTCTGCACATCGACTTCTTTCTTTCTTCCTTTTCTTTTCTTTTCTTTCTTTCTTTCTTTCTTTCTTTCTTTCTTTCTTTCTTTCTTTCTTTCTTTCTTTCTTTCTTTCTTTCTTTCTTTCTTTCTTTCTTTTTTTCTTTCTTTCATGATCTGGCAAAACCAGATAACACAGTGGAAAAACCAATTTTGTTCCCTACATCACTTGAAAACTTTACCCAGGACCAGATGTTATGAAATGAGACCCTGGCCAGCAAATGTTCGGGGAATAACCTGAATTTTCTAACACCTGCTATTCCAAGAACTTCTCTCCTCGGAGCAAACAATTGAAATTGAAGCAGAGCAAAAGTCCTATGGTTGCCACAGGTATAGTACACGAATTTCCTATCAAATTTACACAGCTCCCTGAGCTCTGATCTGAGAAACCCTCACCTTTTTCTTTCTAATATAAATAAGTACATGCTGGAGAGGCTAAAAATATAGATTTAAAAATATTTTGTTATCAAAATTCAAGACAATCTCCCTAAAGCTTATCATTTAAGCAATGGCAGTAGTGGCTCCCCACTTTCAAGAGCAGATGTCTTGTCTTATGTCAGCCCTTTCCATAAAAATAGACTCACTTTAGCTAAATACTTTTGCTTGGAAGGCTTGGTCTTTGGGAGACTATTTGACTCCCCCACCCCCCCACCCCCGCCTTGGAGCACATGATCAAGCAGTTTATAAATGCCAAGATGTGTGGCTGGCCTTCCTTCCACCATCTTATATAAACTCATATTCTTTTCTTTCTAGGGTTTTTCCACTGACATAACTCTTCATTCCCTCTCCAAAGGGAATCCAGGCAATCTCAAGGTTTTGTTTTTGTTTTTTTAAATCAAGCTTTTAAGATATTCAGAGTACATATATAGACATCTATATTTTTAAAGGACTCAATAGTCAACCTCCCCTTTACTTTCTAAATTCCTAATTTTTCTCAGGGTTTTTAAGAGCTCAATACTCTGTGCACTGCCATGGCAGATGCTCTCCTGCTTTCTCTGAACTGATGGATTGCATGTATTTGGCTCTGATCCAATGCAGGTAAGTCGATTCTTCACAGTACAATGTGGTCAGTCATCAGTAAGTACTTTGGCAATATAAAACACACTGGTTGTTTCAAATTCTCTATATTGTCTTCACAATCATTAAAAACTCAGCTTCAAAAATTGCACTCCTATGATTTTAAAAAGATACTGCAGGGTAACAAGTACACTTTTCTCCTTATCACCCAACAAAACAAACTAAGATCAAAACTCAATGGGACAGGTAATTTAAATACTTAAAACATAGAGCGACAATTATGTTCCATGATGGACTCTATTATATGCTACGGTTTTTTTTTATAACATATTTTCTTCCCCCACCCCTAAACAGGTTCTTAACATGATTGAGAATTATTTTGCAGCCTTAGACCATTACTTTATCATTCTCATGTTTAAATACAATTGAAGGCTGGCTACAGAAATTTTACTGTACTCTGTTCTTTCTGTAAAGCATTCAGATTCAGCCTTTGGTACCAAAACAATTGAAGTGCTTTGCAGTTAAATCAGCAAATTAATAAATAATTTATTCTTCCAGCTGGCAAATCCAAAGTATTGTCGGTGTCAGATTATACACCAGAGGATATCTGTTCTATGGACTAGTCCACCTCTGCTCCATAGCTGGGCTGAGCCAGAAGGAGGCCAGAGCCAGAAAAGAGCAAAGTATCTGAACAAACTTCTAAATACAAATGATCTTGAGAGTGGCCCGTTATTTTGTGTTTTCAGTCCCCTAATTCTTCCCTCTAATGGTATAACTAATCATCCATTAAGTGCTTGAGGTTCATTAATTTTTTACATTAAAGATACAAAATATAGCAGACTTTTACAAATCTATACACTCTCGCTCCTTTCATGACTGGATATTATTCCTTGGAAAATCCTGAAGTACTTATTGGCATTTCTTTGTAAATCCTTCCCTTGTGTCGGGCAATTTCCTTTTGTTAATACCAAACTAGACTAGTTTAAACTCATTCAGTTTTAAATCACAGATCATCTTGCCTTTTGTCATTGAGGTCTATGGACATCTGACAGACCTCCCTAATTCAGCTCTGTTTGTTGGCTAAGTTGTCCAACTGCTGAATTAGCAATGTCAGAAAGAACATTTTCCTTTGCCTCAAGACAAGAAACTTTTGAGTGGTGAGGTACTGAGTTAACAGTCTAGCAGGGAACTCCAGCTGCAATTAGCCAACCTTTGAGCCAAACCATAGGATTTGACATATAATGCATACCATACACTATAGCTACGTCTAGCATATGAGTTACATGGATTCCTGAGAAGCTGAGGTTAATGGATGAAACTTATCAGGAGTGAGGTATCAAAGGAATATTATTCTCCGGAGGGCCAATCGGTTCTTAGCATCTAGAAAGTTTACCTTGGCACAGTGTTATCTGATTTCTTGAATTTAGTCTCTGAAGTAGCACCTTAACACTGGCTCATCTGTCTAAAATTATAAACAGAGCCTAGAAGAAACACAAAGGCAAACTTAGAAATCCCTCCATCTCGCTGCTGCACTACGAAATGCAACCAAATCTCTCATTATCATCAAATACCAGAAAAACTACCATTTCCTGTTTTGCAAACTTTAGTTGGGCAGCTAATAAGATAAGTAATGATCCATATAATTTACAGATAAGAACTTCGATTTCTACACTATGTACCAGGGTAGTCAGGCAAAATAGCCACATCTCATGCAAGGGAATCAGTTACATGTAAGTGACAAAAGATGTAAAGTTGCTAAGTTATGACTACCATAAAATATACCCTAGAGTGTTTTTCTTTTTCATTAAAATGCTAGAGTGATATACTTAAAATAAAAAATAAAAAACTTGGGACTGCTTTGATATTTTAAAGATAAAAGTAAAAATCAGCCTTGACTACCTAGTTCTGGGTAATAACAATTTCAGATTTGGGAAAGATAAGAACTAAGGGTTTAAGAAAAAACTTAGACTCTGGGATCAGCAGCTTTAAAATGAGGTATGAAGTGTTTGGGGAAGAGAGGTGGAGGGCTGGGAAGGATCTGCTGAGTGACTGCTGACTCCAGGTTAGAAAGATGGAGAGAAGGGCTGGGGAACAGACTTGTAAAATGCAAAAGGCTGAACTTTCACCCCTGGCAGTTAAGTCTCACTGCTGTGGGCATCAGTGTGGAAATTGAGGCATGGTAGCAGTGACTGGGTTATAGAACAGAGCCATGGTTGTGGGTTACCTCTGGTCCACATGCCAAAAGATTACTGAGGCTTGGTTTATAATTTAACTAGCCCTGGGAATTATTTTCGTAATAGGAATGATTAACTTGGGACTGAGGAGTAGGAAGGGGCAAAGAATTGAGGGGGAACAACTACACGTGGATAAACTGTAGAAAGTGAAACAGTGATCGGAATGATGATGGTGGCTCTGTAATTCCACCAGGTGTCCCTAGACTGTGATGTTTTCTACTGCAGTTAAGGTGGTAGGAAATTCAGACAGGCACCTTTTCAATTAGATGCAAGCACCTTTGGTGTTACCAGGCCTTATCCACACCCTGGGGTCTTAGGATGGTTCTGCATTTCATTCAGAATTCTAAGGAGCTGCAAGGGCGTCACAACTGCCTATTCTGTTTCGATGACATGAATATATTTGAAAGTACCCCGAGCCTAAATTCATGTTCACAGGAACAATACTGACCTGTCCTACATACTTCACACTGGGAGGAGGCATGGGTGTCCAGTTATTTTAGTACTGGTGGTCTTTATGCAGGAATGCATGAGAACGTAGATACAGTTGAGAATCTTCCCTAGTTTACCAGTATGCAGTCTAGACTTGGTTCCCTTTATTATCCTTATATATTCCAGAAGCCTAAAGCACCATCACTCATGGAGGTGGCATCTGGGTAAGAGGATGAGTTGGAACCTCACAAAATGTAAAGTTCCTAGTCATTGACTTTGCTTAGAACTTCACTAATCATTCATCTGGAGAAATCATTCCTCACTACTAATAAATGCATGGCAAAGTCCTTGTCTACTAGCAAACAAATACCACCTAGAAAACTACCCTTCTTAGAGCAGACAAGGAGAAAGCTCTATAACTTATCTTTGCACACTTCAAAAGAGTACCAGGAACAAGCAAGCCATTAAAATCAACCTCTCTAAATTCACTTAGAGGAGATTAACCAAAGCAGCATTGTATTATAATCAGATATTAAAATTAACATACACATACACACACACAAACTAATAATGCTAAATATTGTAACAGGAGCAAGGTAACGTTTGAACTGAATTTTCACAGTCTGGAAAATGCCATTACTATTTTCCTTCTGGTTTTCTTCTCTGTAGTTGGAAAAGCAAAGCTCCTTAGTTTACACTTCATCTTCCACCAATGATAGAGTCCCAAAAAAGTGACTTTTTCATGAGTTTCCTGCAGGCTATCAGTTAGGACGGTCAATATTTTTCTTGCATAGTTTTCAGTGATTGCATATTGGCTAAAAGCTGTTTTAAATTAAAAAAATATCTTTAAAAAAAGAAAAATAGTTAAACCATAGCAATCTTGTTTACTCTTTCATGAAATCTTTGTAATGCAACATCACAGAAGCCTAACTGCATTTTCTCCTAAAGAGATTAACTTCCAGAAATTATTATGTAGTGCAACTGGTTAACTTGTAGGAAAGAGACAACACACTAATATAACTTCACCATCCAGATATGGGAAATGTGTTTTGGGTACCCAGTTAACAAAATATATCCACGGTCTGCAATGTCCTTTCTGTTTTGAATCCAGCACCACCCTGTGATTCTAGTTGAAGAGAATGGACTCAGGATCTTGGTTCGCCATCTGTGCTATATGCTTTAACACATCCTTCTTAGTAATGATTCCAAGCAATCGCCTAAAAGACAAAACAAGACAATAAAATAAAAAATTCTGTAGTTAAAATAACATTCTTAAAGGGGATACTTTTACTCTTCCGTCATATTTGTCAATGCTATCTCTGATAAGGGTTTAATCTGCAAATGTTACAGGGAATTCATACAACTTAACAAAAGGAAGATAAACAATCTAATAAAAAAAAAATGGGCAATGGACCTAAATAGAAACTTTTCAAAAAAGGACATACAGAAGGCCAAGAGACATATGAAAATATGCTCAAAGTCACTAATTAACCAAGCAATGCAAATTACAACAGCAATGAGGTACCATCTCACACCTGTCAGAATGGCTATATCAACAAATCAACAAACAACAAGTGTTGGCAAGGATGTGGAGAAAAAGGAACCCTTGTGCACTGCTGGAAGGAATGCAGACTGGTGTAGCCACTGTGGAAAACAGTATGGCGTTTCCTCAAAAAATTAAAAATGGAACTTCCATTTGACCCAGTAATATTACTTCTAGGAATATATCCCAATAAGTCAAAAACACCAATCAGAAAAGATATATGTACCCCTATGTTCATAGCAGCACAATTTATAATAGCTAAAATTTGAAAGCAGCCTAAGTGCCCACAGCAGATGAGTGGATTAAAAAACTATGGTACATCTACACAATGGAATACTACGCTGCAGTAAAAAAAGAAGTAACTTTTACAATTTGCAACAGCATGAATGGACCTGGAGAACATTATGCCAGTCAGATAAAGATAAATATCACATGATCTCACTAATTTGTAGAATATAATTAACAACATAAACTGGTGAACAAAAATAGATCCAGAGACAAAGAAACACCAAACAGAGTGTCCAAACTCAGAGGGAAGGTAAGGGAGGGTAAAGAGGGGGTAAGAGATCAACCAGAGGACTTGTATGAATGCATACTAGCATAACCAATGGACACTGACCCTGGGGTGGTGGGGGAGGGTTGTACTGGGAGGTGGGAGTGGCTGGGGAAGGGTTGATGGTGGGGGAGTATATGTAATACTTTAAACAATAAAAAAAGGGGAAAAAAGAAATATCCCAGAAAGAAAGAGCCTTGGCCTTAGGAGTCAGAAGATTTATGTTTAAAGCCTACCTGTACTACACACTGAATGACCAGATTATTATGATCTCTGAACGCATAATAATCTGGACACTCAGCATATATATATTTTAGTGGCTCAGTGCATGAATTCGTGCATGGGTGGGGTCCAGCCAGCCTGGCCAGGGTGAGGGGACATGGGTGGTTGGCCAGCCTGCCTGCTGGTCGAACTCCTGATTGAGGGGGCAATTTGCATATTAGCCTTTTATTATAAAGATATACACTGAGTGGCCAGATTATTATGCGTTCAGAGATCATCATAATCTAGCCACTCAGTGTATATTAACTAGGAGTGCTAGTATAAATCTTCCAACCTCACTGAAACTTGGTTTTCTCATCCTCATATTAGAAAAACAAAGGTATTGTAAGGAATAAATAGTATACATATACTGTTTAATACCATTATAATTTCATAAGAACACAGCTACTTCTTTTGTGGGGAGGAACTGACTTATATATAATATGCAACATGCTGTTCACACGTCTCAAACCCACTTTCTTCCTCAAACTCCTCTAATATAAATTATGACAATAAAAGAAACACAACCATCTTCATTTCAGAGCTTCTGAAAGGCCCATAAGTGCAACTAATGTTCGTGTGAATTACGTTCTTTCTCTCTACAGTCTTTCTCCCACAATCCAATTCGCCTTCACCAAAGAGCTCTCACCCATTGTGTGTAACCAGGCACTGTCGCAGTCCCAGCTTGCGGAAGATATCCACAACGATCTCCATGGGGGTAAGGTCAGTCACAGTGAAGGGGCTGAGATCCAGGATATTCCGAAGCTTTAGAGTAGGTGGAGTGTATGGTGGCATTGGAGGAGAATGCTCAGTGAAATAAATGATGGACGTGCTCACAACTCCATCCTGCTTTTTACGAGCATTTTCTATTTGAAAAATAGAGAGAAGATGTTGAAAATTAAACTGCTATTTCTGGCTTCTAACTAGTTAGTCCCCTCTTCCCTCCATCTTCCCCCATTTTATGAATATTTATTTATTTCCACAGTGAATCCTATTATCCCTTTTCTGGAATCCTTACCAATTGAAATAATGAGATCTCTTCGGAGGACAAAACCCACAAGCCTTTGGGACTCCCGGGACACCACTACTGGGAAGCCACTATAAGTGGTTTCGCTGATTATGGTCTCTACGTCTTCCACAGTCATACTGTCCTGAGTAAGGACAGTCAACAAAGGATCATTTCTCCGGGGCTTCATCACATCCATTGCCAGGGTCTTATGAGCAAACTCTTCTTTAGCTTCAAGAAAGGGGTATCCATTGAGACGAATGTGGGCATCATAGATGCCTTCCCGCCCAAGAGCATCTGCCACCCATTTGCTTGTCATTGCCGCAGCCATCAGAGGCACAATGTACTCCAAGCCACCAGTTAGTTCAAACATTATGACAACAAGAGAAACAGTCATCCGAGTCACTCCACCTGCAAAGAAATAGGCACAGGCTATTGAAGGTGGGAAGAATATAGGATTCATCACAATTATTGAACTGCTATAGGCCCCACTCAGGAAAAGCCTACTTAACAGAAACACTGCTAAAAGGATGTCTCACTCACAACTGCTGACCCCAGCAATGCATTAAAGGAAGTTTACAATGGAAATGAATTAAGAGTACTCAAAATAACATCTACAAAAATATGAGATGCGTTCTTGATTCTTCTTTTAATCTATTGTGCTCCCCCCATTATAAAATAGCTGCGGAAGACATCCATAATCTGTGTAACACTACACAGGCCAGAGGTTCTCTGCAATCTGCAGGCCCACTGTGGAAAATTTAGAAAATAAAAAAACAAGTATATCATTATCTACTAGTATAAGTTCACTGCCCAGAAATAAGTAGAGTAAAAAACTTGAATGACTTTTTTAAATTGTTTACTATGCCAAAATATGTTTTCCATGAGTAAACTCATACTACGTGTTTAATTCCCTACATGTTCTCCCCCACCCCCACTTTATGTTGGGAACATTTTGTATGTTATTACAAATTTTCTTAACACTGTATTTAAATATGTTAAATATCAACATCAATATTCAATGGTTTCATAGTATAACATTACATAAATACATCATAATTTATTTAATCAGTCCCTTACTGTGTATATTTAGGTTGATTCCAACTTTTTGCTATTATAAATAATATCTTATGAACATTCTTGTGCAGATATATTTACATAAATTTCTGATCATTTCCTCAGTATGATGGATTTGAAAGTAGAATTACTCTTAAAGAGGAGGAATGTAGATATATGATAATGTTTTCTTTTTTAAGTATTTAACAATTATTTAATAAAAGAGTATGCTATCCTAGACAATAGACAATTTGTAATAATATACAAATGTTGCCAACAGAAAGTGGGGGAGGGGGAACATGTGAGGAATGAAACATATAATCTGAGCAGTCAGAGAACTACTCTCTGGGGAAAAACATTTAACATAAAATCTGAAGGCTGAGCCAAAACCGGTTTGGTTCAATGGATAGAGCATCGGCTTGGGGACTGAAGGGACCCGGGTTCGATTCTGGTCAAGGGCATGTACCTTGGTTGCAGGCACATTCTCAGTAGGGGGTGTGCAAGAGGCAGCTGATCGATGACTCTCTCTCATCGATGTTTCTAACTCTCTATCTCTCTCCCTTCCTCTCTGTACAAAATCAATAAAATATTTTTTTAAAAAATCTGAAGGCTGAAAGGAATCAACTATGCTAGAGCTGAGGAAGGAGCATTCATAGAAGGAACAGCAAGTACAAAGATAGGACAAAGGAACAGGCTTGACATATCTGAAAAAATTGAGGGCGGTATGGGGAAAAAAAAACACAAAGTACTTTGGACAATCAATAATGCTTTCTTAAAGAACTTGAAAAAATGGCAAACCCAACAGAAAATGGTCACTTAAAAAAATCTGCAGTCAATTGTATTTAATATCACTCTTCTTTTTTATGTCACCTGGGTAGCAACTTTGAAATCAATGCAAACACTACTCACCTAAGCAGGCTGCAGCCCCAACCATTGCATAAAGGCCAGGAGTGATACAATCAGCTCCTTGGCTACACCAGCTATTGAAGATGGCCCAGTCATGGTGGTAATAAGCCATTTGTTCCATTCCTACTCCTAAAAGGCGACCTGCGATAGCACCAACGGCCATGCTAGGGATAAAGAGACCAGAAGGGATCTACAAAGAGAAAGTGATAGATGGTTAGGAAGAAATGATGTCATTGCCTGGTGTATGTAAGGGCTAGAGGATTGACCCTCTGAGAAGCAAACAGGCCAATGACAATGTAACTATATACTATGCTAGTAAGTGGCTATAAAGATTTGTGTAAACTACAGAGACTAGGGGTTCTCTGGGATGTGCAGGCAAGTACGACTGCAAAGAATCTTACCCTGATTCGGGGTCCATCAGGCTAGAGCCTGAACTCTCCAGACCAACAAAGAATTGGAGGCAGAAATTAAGCCTTTCCCAAAGAAAAAGGAAAATAGATGGAATTTCTCATATATGAAGACATTCTCCCCCAAAACAATTATCCTTTATTGGCTATCTACTATGTTCTATTCTGAATGCTCTAAAGATAAGATTTCAGGAGGTAGGCCAAATCACAAAGAACCTAAGATTCAGAGAGATTAACTAACTTAGCCAAGTCCAAGATTTAGTAAGTACTCGTCATGGGGTTTAAATACAATGCTTTGAGGGGTTTGCAGGGAGGGCATATATGAGATAGGGTTGGGGGGGGCAATGGAAAGATATGTACACATATAAGACCTTAATTAAAAAATAAATAAAATAAAATAAAAATAAACGCAATGCTCATACCCACTCTTATGTACTGAATCTTAACCAATTGCTCACACAAAAAGAACGGTACATGAGGTTTCAGTTTATTTGTGACAATACAAAGAAAGAATAACTGACTAATTATTTTCAATCAGGTAGTGATTGTAGTTGCCTGACTATCCAGAAAAGGAACCCTCATCTGTCTCCCCACTCTTTTTCTTTTTCTCCTATGATATTATTTCTCCTATGAATTCTCAATTTTCTGAGCTAAGAAAGGGACATGATAACAAAGATGATCAAAACAGCAGATTATTTTTAAATAGCTTGTGTTTGATTTTTGGAATGCATTTGAATCAAGGAAGGTCTGGTGGCCTTGAAAAATGACTTTAAATTTAAAAAAAAATAAAGCAAGAGGTGAAAATTACTGGAGAAGCACTGCAAAACTTTTCAGGGTGTTGAAGAGGATGGATGATTTGATCTCAGAGATTTCAGTACTGTCTAAACTGAATTGCTGTCCCTAATTCCCTGGTTTGAATCTCTACTTCTCTAGAGAATAGAAGGCAGTAACTTGGTAGTGCGGTGCTAAAGAAAAGGCACAAATAAAAACCAGGAAGGAGGAGGAAAATATGTTAACAAATTTTCTTTTCTGGTTTCTTCTAAAACATGGAAAGAATAATGGGTACTAAAAGTAAAACTTGCTGTCTTAATGCCTCATTTTGACAGTTTATATATTAATTGAGGATCAACTGTGAAGTACTTGATAATTGAACATTGATAACAAATGTAAAAAAATGCATTTACATAGTCCAGCCAGTGTGGCTAAGTGGTTGGACATCAACCTATGAACCAGGAGGTCATGGTTTGAATCCTGGTCAGTTAGGCACAGGTCTGGGTTGCAGGCTTGGCACCTAGTATAGGGCATGCAGGAGGCAGCCAATCAATGATTCTCTCTTATCATTGATGTTTCTATCTCCCTCTCTGAAATCAATAAAAATATTTTTAAAATATATTTACATATATATTGGGCTAACCTACATGAAATTGCTATTTTAGTGGTCAAAATGGTTGAATATTGGCAACTTCATTTGGCTCAACCTAAAATTTTGCTTTATCAGTAAACTCTAAAACCACCCTATTAAGAACCAATACTATATTGAATAGATATCATTTTAATATACAATGCATAGAAATAAATACCCCACTATCCTTTTTGAGTGACAAAATATTTTTTAACTAACAAGAAGACAACATTTCTACTTAAAATCTCAACACTGAGGTCTGTATTTGGTCTAAAACTAGGCTTGGAACATTTTAGATAGAGGTACAACTGTCTAAGAAGTTATGAGGGCATATGGAGGTGAAAAGGGCTTATGGGATTGAGTAATAACGTTGGGTGAAGTTGGAAGTGCCACATGAGTGTAATGATTGGGTGGTATCTTGCCCTCCAAACCCACAGCCACACATATACCCACTGAGTACCAAAGAATCTCCTCACCTTCATGCCAAAGGTGAATATAGTAATGACAATTTTCAATATGAGTGTCAAGGCCAGCTGCCACATGGCACTGTAGACTCCCGCACCAGCAGGTCTGTCAGGCAGGTCACCACCCTTGCTTGAGTTGAAATGGTTCTCATAATCACAGAGCTTAGAAGAGTCCAGAAGGCCACAGTCATTAAATAGTTCAGAAATTAGCTCACTTGTGCTCATTCGGGTATATTCATTGGGGAAAGCCAGGATGGCAGTGATGGCTGTCACAACAAGTACCTCGATGACAGGATACTTGCCCAATTGGGTGGTCTTACGCTTCCGACACCAGGCAATGTTTGTGCGGATAAATAAAGCTCCCCAAAGACCACCAAATATGCCCAGCAGAATGAATGGCACAAGCTCAAAGAGATGCCACGGGGTGTGAAACTCCACGTAAAATAGAACCAGACGGCTGTTCCCAAATGGATTGATGGATCGCAGGGTAAATGCTGCCACCAAGGCAGCAAAGAATGAACGCCACAGTGTTTTGAGGGGAAAATAGTAGCTGACCTATAAGAGAGAAGGGGGAAAGGCAAACTCAGTCAATATGTAGAAACTGTTTCAGGTAAAACGTTGATGCTGTAGGAATTAAGACCTGAGAATAAGCCCTAACTGGTTTGGCTCAGAGGATAGAGTGTTGGCCTGTGGACTGAAAGGTCCCAGATTCGATTCCGGTCAAGGGCATGTACCTGGGTTGCAAGCACATCCCCAGTGGGGGGTGTGCAGGAGGCAGCTGATCGATGTTTCTCTCTCATTGATGTTTCTAACTCTATCCCTCTTCCTTCCTCTCTGTAAAAAATCAATAAAAAATATATTTTTAAAAAAAGACCTGAGAATAAAAACTGCCCAGAGATCTCTGGTCACATGATAAAGTACTGACTTATGCAAAGCACTTTGGGACTACCATGTACATAGATACTGGCCAGGACTCCCAACACAAAAGTATGCATATGTGCTACAAATAGTTAAAAGTATTACCTCTTCAAGGCTGAATAATACTCCTCCAATAGGTGCCCCAAAGGCGACAGACACGCCAGCTGCTGCTGCAGCTGACAAGACCTACAACCCAAAAATCAAAATTAACAATAGAATAATGCCACTTTCCTACCATCAATCAGTTTTAAAAGGAGTAAAGGAGTATGAGTGGCTACTAAACATTTTTTTTAAGTTACATGCTCCAAGCAGTTTATAAAAAAATGAAGTTCAATTTATATTTTAAGAGCAAACATTGTATTTGGATTTTGAACACATATTTCACATGCTGGAATAAATAGAGGTCTTTCATTTGAAATTAATTTAGGTATGCTTTACTCCAAATTATGCACCCATCTTCAATACACACAATTCCATAACTGAATTTGAGTCTGTATTCGTCATCTAATCAGTGTTTCCCACACTTTTGTACCCTTTCTATATTTTTCGTAAGGCTGAGTATCCCTCGTACTCATGAGAACGTAGAATTAGGCGCAGCTAAGCACTGTGCAGTGCATATCCCCACCAAATTCCGGGGCAACACATACCCCAATCAAACTCTTCCCGTACCCCTGGGGATACGCATACCACACTTCGGGAAACACTGGTCTAAATGAAGTACTTACAATTATGTGTTTACATAGCACTTTATTTGTAAAAGAATACTTTTAAAATTAAATGTTAAGAAAGACTCTAAGCACACAAAACTAAAGTTACCATTAGTTCACAGCTGTTCAGGGGCTGCAAATATTTATACAATAGATATTTAGGTTTTCCTATACTATGTGCCCTATTCCATGTCTAGTGACCTATGGAAAAAGAAATAGGGAGGTAACTAGAAGCAAGGTTGGGAATATATTTTGAAGGGAAGAGAAGACCTATGTATGTTTAGGTGTGAAAAGGTAAAGGGCTAAGAGGGGAGGGGAAGGCATGACAAACACAAGAAGTAATGAAAACATAAAGTCCTGTCATCAGATTCTGGTTGCTGTAGAGTGATAATATGATTTGGGATAGTAAGAACATATTTCAAAGAAAAAGTAGACAAAATTTCAGAGTTTTTTTGTATCCACAAAAAAAAAATCATTTCTTTTTTTTAATTGTTGACAGTATTACAGATGTCCCCCACATTTTTCTCCCTTTGTCCCCCCTCCACCCAGCACCCATCCCACCCAGGCCTTTACCACATGCCTGTGTCCATGGGATATGCATATATGCATATATGTTCTTTGGTTAATCTCTTTTCATCCCCCTTAGCCCACCTCCCATGAGATTTTTAAGAATAAAATAGTTCTTGGCAAAATAAGTACCCTGTATTTTCTGCCATATAAGACGACTTTTGAAACGAAAAAAAGTCAACCGAAAATCGGGGGCAAAAGACCAAAATTGCACAAAAATTACCTGCAGATCTTGACGGAAAAGTAAGTCTTTTCTTTGAAGTGGGGAGTAGTCTTATACAGCGGATATAGTCCTAAACCTATGTTTTAGCTGTAAAATTAGGGGTCGTCTTATACGCTGGAAAATACGGCAGATTTCTCTGGGAGTATAGGATGACCAAGGGAAATAAGGGGAGGAAAGAGTGAACTCTCTGGTGCTGGCTGGGGAGGACTGAGAAATTTATAGCTATAATGGTTTTCATCTGAGAAGAATGACAGTCAACATGGAACTTGAGAAAGGGGATTTTAGTGACTGTTTGGAATGAATTATGTGGGAGAAAAATCGAGGTGGCTTGTTTGCTATAATTTTATGTTGTAGAGTGGAGTTTATCTATGCCCTTACTTTTCAAATCTTTATTTTATTCAACCATCTGCCCACTTTGACCAGGCCCTGGGACACAAAAGGATTGCTGCCAATCAACAGAGGGAAAAAACATGGAAAGTCTAAATAAACACTAAGAAGTCAACTAAAACTTCAAATATTCATGAGTCTAGTTAGAGAAATACATGACATGTGTTCAGAGAAACAGCCAAATCAAACTCCCCTCGTATTTTATAAAAAATTATTTGAACAAAAATTTTTAATTTTATGGAATGAAAGTAATTAGCAGTCTAGAGTTTCAAAGTCACCTCTACCTCTGCAAAACCAGCAACGATCAACATTTCACTTTTATCAAAGTTGAGAAAACACTTTGACATATATAACAACTTCATCAACTTAATACCACCTTTATATCCCTTTACTGTTCAGATATGTCTCTCTCTAGCCTTCCTCTCCTGCCAGGAACTTTTCCCCCTTGAACTCTCAAAATGTATTCCATGTTTAAAATTTCAACACATTTGAGTTTCCATCTAGGTCTCACTTTTTTTCTTTGTTTTCAAAATAAACCACTAGGTTCCAATTTTATGAGAATACCTTTATAATAGAATGGCCCTGGTCTTGACCCATTCCATATGTGATTTCTTTGTAATTCAAGGAAAATAGAGCAAGAACCATTATTTTCTTAAATCTCTAATTATAACAGGGAAAAAGTAAACAATGACTTAGAACACTTCTTTAATAAATGTTCTTCCTCCTCAAAATGCTAAAACATGTTAACTCCTACAGAGATGCTGTGGTGGAGCTTATTTAGTGGGGTTGAGACAGAAGAGAGGGAGATCCAAGACACAGAGCTGAATTCCATTTGGTGTTAGGTAGAAATAAAACATGAAGAGGCTGACATCTGAAACAAATGCTAAGTGTGTGTTCTTTCATAGGAATAGACAACTTTTTTTAAAAATCTTCTATTGTTTTTTTAAACTTAATTTATAATAGAAACCGCACACAATTGTATAGAATTATATATAATAAAAAGTTTAAGTCCTCACCTCACCTTTACTGTCACCTCACTTCCCATTCACCAGAAGATATTTTTTAACAATTTGAAGTAAAACCACTTTCCAGACATTTTCATTCTAGGTGCATATACATACACCTTTTAAAAACATTAATTTGCCCAGTCAGCATGGCTCAGTGGTTAAGCATCAACCTATGAATCAGGAAGTCTCGGTTTGATTCCCAGTGTGGGACATGCAGGAGGCAGCCAATTAATGATTCTCTTTTGTCATTGATGTTTTCATCTCTCTCTCCCTCTCCCTTCTCTGAAAACAATAAAAAAATATTTTAAAATAAATAATAATAAAAATTAAAACACTAATTAAGTTATACTACATCTTTGGTCATACTTTCATGCCAGTATATAAAGGGCTATCTCGGCCTTTTTAAAAGTTGCACAGTTTTCTATAGTATGGACATAAGATTGTTCAGTCAGTCCCCTGTTGTGCACATTGTGATAATTTCAGTTTTTCACTATGTTGATAAATGCTTCATTGACTATCCCCAAACATCTTTGAGCACACACATGCTTGCAAATTACTAGAAGTGGAACTTTTAGATCAAAGGGCATTTGAATCAACATTGGTAGAATCCCCAAATTTTCATCCCTAAGAATTACCATTTATGTTCTCACCCCAAAAAAAACAAAAAACAAAGAGAGAGATTGTTAAGGCCATTCGTTATTACCTCTCTGCGTTTAGCTTCATTCTTCCTGTATTTGTTGAAGCAGTGGCACAGGATGTTCCCACAACAGCAAGCCACATGCACTAGAGGGCCCTCTTTGCCCAGGCTCAAGCCAGAAGACACTGCCAGCACCAACGTGATGGTTTTGATAATCAGGGTCCACTTACCCAAGTAGCCCCTAATAATAAAACCACTCAAGATAGTTTTTATCTGCAAGTCAAACACAGGGAGATTGGATATAGACTAAGCAAGTAAACCAAGCTAAGCAGCAATAATCTGGACCTCATTACAGAAACTATATCTTTGGAACATATAAATGCTAGACCTACAGTGATCCTAGTCTGGGAGGGAGGCCAGGAACCCAAGAAAGTGAAAACTGTTCTTTCCATTTTCATGTTTCTTGTTTCTTTTTTGGCCGTGTGATAGCTGGGCAAGGGAGTATTGTAAGTATGAGAGCATACATATGGAGAAGGGGAGGTGGAAACGGAAGTTATTTTCCTTACAGAATAATATAGCCTTGATTCCCTGCCAGAAAAAAATTTGTAACTGTAACTTGGTCAGGAAACAAGAGAAGGGCGAGGTCATCTAGGTAACCTTAAATCTCAGTGGTTTCAATCACTGTCAAGCAATCGAAACCAAAAACAATTAGAAACAGGGTTTTAATCACCCTTTTTTTCTAGCCCAAGTCAGATTGTAGGAAATACAGCCAAATAGTTTTATTTATTCTGCTGTAACAGAGTTGACAATACCACTACATTTTCAGGCCAGAATCTTGAGATCTACCCTGGGAAGCTTCTTGAGTAGGGATTTGCAGAAGTCTTCAGGGGCCTAGCTCACCAGGAATCCACAAGAGGCTATGAATCAACTCCATTTAATGTCCAGGCGGCTCAGGTAGGGGGGGGACTTAGGGAACACCTAAAGAGGCCCTAGATTTGCATCAAGATCTAACCTTATTCAATATTCATATTGTTGTATACATATTAAAGGGTTTGAAAAAATAAAGGGTTTTAACCCAAAAGGAGTCATTATTGTTACCATTTATAAGCCATTTTAGAGACTCACCTCGGGGATTCCGGAGCCACAGGCATAAGGTGCAAACACCTTGACAAGAGATACGGCAAGGAAGGCAAACAGTAGAGCCCAGAGGACGTACATGAAATAATTGACTATGTAAGCAAAGGCTCCCTAGAACAGGGAAAAAAGAAAAGAAGTTTTGTTAGCTCAGACAGCCCCAGTAAGGCATGCAGCTCTTCTGAGTAATAGGTTTTCAGGAGAGGAAGTCAGAGAGAGAAAAAAACATTAAACTGCTTAAGATGTTTCTTTCCTGATTATCAGCAAAGCTTCTACTAAAAACACTGTCAGCCCATTTGCTATTTAAAATGAAGAGCTTGCTACACCCAAAAGGAGCTGACAATGGCTTCTAAGGATAGACAAGAACAAGGGCAAGCAAATTCACTTTCTATATGAGTGGTTGGATAGGTTTTGTAGTCAACGGTACAGTTGACCCTTAAGCAATGCTGGGTTAGAGATATTGACCCCTGAGCAATTAAAAATCCCCATATAACTTTTTTTTTAATTTTTCAATTATAGTTTACATCAGTATTACTTTGTATTAGTTTCAGGTGTACAGCATAGCAGATAGAGAACTATATACACTACAAAGGGATCCCCCAATATTTCAAATTACCCACCTGGCCCTATACATAGTTATTGGAATATTATTGACTATATTCTATATGCTGTAATTTCCATCCCTGCAACTATTCTGAAATTACCAATTTGTACTTCTTAATCCCTTCACCTTTTCCACCCAGTGGTCCCAACCCCTCTGGCAACTATCACTCTGTTCTCTGGATCTATGAGTCTGTTTCTATTTTGTTCATTAGATTCCCCATATAACTTTTATTTTTAGTTTTCTTATAAATATATTCTTCTTATGAATATATTTTTCTTTTTCCCCATTTTTTATTAAAGTATTATATGTGTACGTATCTTACCATTGTCCCCACCACCCACTCCCATACATGCCCTCACCCCCTAGTGTTTTGCGTCCATTGGTTATGCATACAACTCCTTCTGTTGATCTCTTATCTCCCCCAACTCTTCCTAACCTTCCCACTGTAATTTGACAGTCTGTTTGTTGCTTTACTGCCTCTGTATCTATCTTTGTGTTCATCAGTTTATAAAGTTCTTTATTATCCACAAATGTGTGAAATCATGTGGTATTTTTCTTTCATTGACTGGCTTATTTCACTTAGCATAACTTTTGACTCCCCTAAACTTAACTACAGTTGGCCTTTCACATCCATGAATTAAACCAACTGAAAATAAAAAACTATCTTTGATCTGCAGTTGGAAAACCACGGATGGAAATATGTAAATACTGTGTTCCATTTGTGGTTGGTTGAATTCATGGAGGTTTGAATCTATGAAGGAGAACACAAAGGGCTGTTTATATTTAGTAGTATTGAAAAAAAATTCTGCATAAAAGTGGACTCGCACAGTTCAAAACTGCGTTGTTCAAGGTCAACTGTAGCATGGCAGCCTGGCTCAGTGGTTGAGCGTCGATCTATAAACCAGGAGCTCAGAGTTCAATTCCTGGTCAGGCCACATGCCCAGGTTGCAGGCTCAATCCCCAGTAGGGGCATGCAGAAGGCAGCCGATCAATGATTCTCTCTCATTGTTAATGTTTCTCTCACCTTCTCCTTTCCTCTCTGGAATCAATAAAAAATATGTTTTTTAAAAAGTCAACTTTATTAAGATTAATAACCCTTCTATTCAAATGGCTGAACTGGCTACACACTGAAGTTTGATTTGGCTCTAAAGTTTCATTAAATTCACCTTTCACAACCTACCTCGGTGTCAAATTCTCATAGGAGGTTACAGTGTCTAAAATTCATGGGTGTTTTTCTTAAAATACACAGTTATGTTCTGTAGAGAATGATCACAGCGTTGAGAGAATTTTGCTACGACAGATTCAGCAACAAGTTTATGCAGTAGAAGTTTCAGAGTCTGACCAGAAAACAAAACCAGTAAAATGCCAGATATCCCAAAGAATAAAATGGCAATAGCTATTTTTTTAAATGGAGAAAAGAGGATAGAGATAATGTACTTTTGAAACTACCCTATGATAATAAAGTTTGTGAGAAAATAAATCTAATTTTAACCACCAATAAGGAATTATCCACATTAATGGCTTACAAATAGTTATGTCCTATACAAAAACTATTTTGAACATAAGGAGCTTATGCATGCTGATAGACACATTAGAAGTTGAAATTCAATCAAATTACACAAAACACAAAACTCAATGAACTTTTGACTTTTTAAAACATAATAGTATTAAAACATTTGCTGACCTAGACAAGGAGGACCAAAATGGACAGGTTTTTTCTGAATTATAATTTTGACACAGGGTTTCCATTATCTTACTCCCTCAGAGAAACATAAAATTGCTCTCTCTTTGCCTTTGGAATGTAACTAGGGAAGAAGACTTTAGAAATTGGAAACAAAGAGGAAAGGGGGGGAGAAAGGGAATGCAGCTGAAACTGGCTAGAGGCAGAGATCCAGAGGCCAAGTTCTTGGCAGGAGAACTCTTAAAACCCAGAAGACTTTTTCCCTAAGCAAGGATTTTATTCATAAAGGAGAGCCAGAAAATTTTTCACTTGACAAATCTCAGGCTCCAGTTTGAAAGTTATAGTTGGAACACTTAAAAATATTCCCAGCTATAAAGGGGTAGCAAGGAAGTGCCCTGGGGTGATGCAACAATAGTTCCATATCTTGATTGTGGTAGTGGTTACATAAATCTATACATGTAATAAAATTGCAAAGGACTATACCTACACACACACACACACACACACACACACACACACACACACACACACCCTAAATTCTAGGGATTCTCAAATTTTTCTACCCAAGTACTCCTAATTTAAGAAGGTAAATAGAGATATCAGGGTAGGCGATGTGGGCACCCAGGAACAGAGCTGAAATAGAGATTGTTTTATCTTAACAAACATGAGAATTTTGTATTTCCATTTAATTTTTGAGAAAAAAAAATCTGCCAAATATTTAGGAAAGACTGATATTCTGGGAAGGCACATAACATTTATCCTGTGGTTTCACCTACTCTCTGACACGCTGACCCCAGTTTGAGAAGCTTATATTTAAACCCTCTCACACATATAAAGTATATATTTACCACAGTTATTGAACTCTGTTCCCTAAACCAAAATATGCACAGCCATATATACACATAAACACTGTTATTTCTGACTTTACTATTCTCCTACATTTTTCCCCTTGATTGACTCTGTGTGTGTGTGTGTGTGTGTGTGTGTGTGTGTGCACCCTACTTCAAATGTGGACCAAAGTAGATGGGGAGAAAGTATATGTAATACTTTCAACAATAAAGATTTAAAATAAAAAAATAAATAAAATGTCACATGAATCTTAAAAAATAAAATATAAAAGTACAAGCAGCCCAGCCAGTGTGGCTCAGTGGTGGAGTGCCGACCTATGAACCAGGAGATCACGGTTCCATTCCCAGTCAGGGCACATGCTCGGGTTGTGGGCTCAACCCCAGTAAAGGATGTACAGAAGGTGGCTGATCGATGATTCTCTCTCATCATTGATGCTACTGTCTCTCTTTCTCCCTCTCCCTTCCTCTCTAAAGTCAACAAAAATATATTAAAAATAAATAAGTAAAATAAAAGTAGAAACATATTTCCTAGTGTTATCCCCCTCACTTCACCAACAGAGCAGATGAGTAGTGAGCTGAGAGTACCTGCCTTTATTGGTAGAAGTCAGAGTGAAATTGGGAATTGAGAGTTGCTTTATCCAGTTTTATTTTTATTTTTTTATTTTTAGTAGGAAAGATCTAACTTACAACCAAGTAGTAATAGAAAGGCAAGGAACAGCAAAACAAAGTTAATACTTCTTTGAAAAATATAGGCTAGCAGAGAAGGACAAATGAAAATATTGACAATTTCAAAATGGGACTAGGGCAAGTTTATTCCTGAGTTTCTGTTGTTTTGATATAGAATGTATTATCATTTTTTCGTATTCAGAGTATAGGTTTTTACTTATATTAAGGATGTTATTAGAGCATTTTGAGCAGTGTACCATAGCATTTTTTTGTTTTGTTTTGTTTTGTTTTTTGTTTGTTTTTGTTTTGATGTTGTAATGTAATGCTCAGGGGAAAAATACTTTTGGAATCTATATAATAAATATTTTTAGCCCAGTCCATCCTTTATTAGATATTGTAGCTTTCCTGTTGGGTGGCTCTAACTTTTCTACTGAAATGATTAGAGAAAGATAAATTCAGCAACACTGTGTACTAAAACCAAGAAGAAGCAATAAGCTTGTTTAAAACAAGCAAAAATGTTAAGTAACTGTGTAAGCATCAAACGCTTCCACATGCCAGAAGAGATGGAAATAGGACTGCACTTAAACCACAGAAAAAGGAAGCTGGCAGTGGTTCCCGTTTTCATGAAAAGGAAAACAAGGGGAGAGTCCACAGTTGCCAGGAGTACAGTTAAGAAATGAAGGAAATGTAAGAATAAAAGTCAGTGTTTCCAAAATCTTCACTACATGTTACCTCTTCTGTGCTGATGAGAAGCTGAGACCAGCTATTCCACTTTGGGCATTTGTCTTTTTCTTCAAAGGTGACCTGATCGGAGTCCCAGCAACAGTGTTCATGATTAAACCACAATCCTTCTGTGCATATACCTTCTTTTAAGTCTGTCATCCAATGAGCAGAGATGTCTATCAAGCCAGCTAGGGATCCTGATTAGAGGGGAAGGAAGGAAGAGCCACAAATTTTAGAGAAAATGACAGAAAAGGGATAAAAATAATGGACAAACATATACCTTTCCCCATTTCATCTGCAACTTCTTTCTGATTTTCTATTTGCTTGATTTTAACCTACTGTCTCTAATAGATTTCACCTGTTATTAAATGCCTGTTCAAAAGGGAAAAACAAAATAAAACATTGTCTAAATTAAACACTGTGTCTAGAGAATTTCTACTGGTATATATGGGAAACTTAAGGGAGAGCAAAGAGGTTGGGTAGGAGCAAGGAGAAAATGGATTTAACCTTCAGCTGATTTATATGGAAATATTCTGCTTTGGCCCTAGTTGGTTTGGTTCAGTGGATAGAGCACCAGCTTTCGGACTGAAGGGTCCCAGTTTCAATTTTGACCAAGGGCAAATGCCCAGGTTGTAGGCTCGATCCCCAGTTGGGGGCATGCATGAGACAGCCAGTCAATGATTCTCTCTCATCATTCTCTCTCCCTCTCCCTTCTTCTCTGAAATCAATAAAAATATATTTTTTTAAAAATTATAGTTTTAAAAAAAGATTCTGCTTTGACTTAAGAGTTAATGAATACTGCCGAAACCGTATTGGCTCAGCGGATAGAGCGTTGGCCTGTGGACTAAAAGGTCCTAGGTTCGATTCTGGTCAAGGGCATGAACCTTGGTTGTGGGCACATCCCCAGTAGAGGGTGTGCAAGAGGCAGCTGATCAATGACTCTCATCGATGTTTCTAACTCTCTATCCCTCTCTCTTCCTCTCTGTAAAAAATCAATAAAATATATATATTTTTAAAAAAGTTCATGAATACTGATCCATCAAGACAATCAAGTTTATTAAAGATTATTTTATTCTCCCCGAAACCGGTTTGGCTCAGTAGATAGAGCATATGCCTGCGGACTGAGAGGTCCTGGGTTCAATTCTGGTCAAGGGCATGTACCTTGGTTGCGGGCACATCCCCAGTATGGGGTGTACAAGAGGCAGCTGATCGATGTTTCTCTCTCATCAATGTTTCTAACTATCTATCCCTCTTTCTCCCTTCCTCTCTGTAAAAAATCAATAAAATATATATATATTTTTAAAGATTATTTTATTCTCACTATATGCATAAGATTGAGAAAACTTGAACTGACCATATTAAAGAATATTATATGGTAAGTTATTTGAGTTGACTTGGGGGAGAGGAACCAATGAAGGCTATGGGTGAAGGACTCAGTCTTGATAGTGATTTTGTCCCATGGTCAAGGGAATTTGAGCAATGGGCAGGAAGGCATTCTAGGCTAAGGGATCTAAATTTATAAAAGCAGCCACATAGAAAGTTACATGAAGCTGTAGACATATTGAAGCCTCCTGAGCCTGGGACATAAACATTCTGAACTTTTCTTACTGAGAGGAGCAGACAATATTATATACATAGAAAAATGTGAGAAAGTAAATAGTGAATGGAAAGTTAGGCACTATGGGCTAATAGACTGATAGGGTTCGGAGAGTTATAGTACTTTCAATTTTGGCCTTCTCTTCATTTCTGTCACCCAGATGAAGAAATTATGGCATAAAAAATTAAATGGTCTAGAATATAACTTTAGGGAAATAGGAAAGACATCATAAAATTCACAGCCCCTGAATCCCCAGACTGTTCCTGCATTCAGACACACTGCTTCTATTTTAGCTCCCTAATGCTTAAAAACAAAATACCCTGTGTGTATGAGGGAAAGAAAAAATATTTGCCTAGTGACAAGAAATCTATTTTAAAAGTTGAGGATATTACATTTACATTCCAACAGGCTGGAGGCCATGTCATGTGTATGTTTTGGTAGGTGCTAAAAGTGTTAACACAGGTTATTTACATACTTGAATAACCTAGTCAAATCTAACAGTTTGATACCTACTCTTGGCCACTCCAGCTCCCACCTTCTCTTCCTTCTAACTCTTATTGCACTTATTGCCTGGATTCTGAAAACTAACATAATGTTATAGAGTTTGGCTTTTTCTCTAGTCGTTTCATGTATGCATGTCTTTTCCTAACACAGGTACCCTCAATGCTGTCTTCCCTTCTACTTCTACTTCTTTTCCCAACCAGCTCCTTCTTCCCTGGTTACAAATTTCCTAAAATGCTTTCCCTTGTCCTTCTTACCACTTCAAGGTTTGTCTCTTCTCTACTTCCAATGAACACCAAATATTTCCAAAACTTTCATACAGCTTGCCTTCCCTTGAACTCTGGCCCCTAATATTTGCCCAAGATGGTTTTTCAAGGTCATTGGTATTCTCTTAACTGCTAAACTATATAACCTTTTCTCAGTCCTCTTCTTTCTCTTCGGCATCTCTGCAACACTTGGGGCTACAGATCACTCAGTCTATCATTAGCCAGCTCTAAACTGACCAGACTGTGTTCTCTCTCCTGTGCAAGGCAGAAGGGGCACCATTAATACCCTGGACCACAGGGTGGCAAATTATAGTCTGAGAGTGAAACCTGCCTCTGTGTTTGCCAATAAAGTTTTTCTTGGTCACAGCCCCACTCATTTGTTTACCTAACATCTATGGCTGTTTCCATGCTACAGAAACCATTTGGCCCATAAATCCTAAAATATTTACTATCTGATCCTTTAGAGAAAACATTTGCTGACCACCGCCCTAGATGATCTTTGAAAAGCCAGCTATGGATGAGACATTCCTCATTGCAGCAATAATCTTATACTCCATGGCTTATGCTTTATCTCTAGGTAACAGCAAAGTACTGTTAACAACTGGGCTCTGTGCTAAGCGCTATATGTGTTCTATCTCATTAAATCTCCACTTAACAAATGAGTAACAATAGATACTCATTATCCCCACTTTATGGATCAGTAAACTAACGTTTCGCAGGTTTCAAAAACTTGCCAAAAGTCCCAAAACTAGCAAGTTCTGAGGCTTGGATTCAAATCTAGGCAGCCACAAAGTACAGCCTGTGCTGTTAATTGCTATTTCATCTCATCCATCTCCAGGTTTCCCACTTAACATTCATTTTAACTCAGTATTCCAGATCTTCCTGCACCCATCTTTTAATTCCATAAGGCTACATCTCTTAGCATCTCTGCGAGGTATTCTTGACTTTCTACTTCCTCCAGGGGAGGGGAAACCTGCTTGGGAACTTGCTTTAAAGCTGTATTTGCATAGCAAGTGTAATATTACAAGTTAGATTGTATATTACTTGCAGTGGCTTGGGAGGTTGATGGAGATGATGGAGAAAGGTGGTAGCAACCCACTTCTCAGCCACCATGAAAGAATGAGATGATAAACTCCTTCAGGATATAAGCCATGTCTTACACGTTTTTCTTTATCCCCAATTGAGAGAGTATATGTTTAAGAAATAGCTACAAAAATGCCTCAGGAAGTCTTCTTTCTACATCTTCTCTCCTAAACCCCATGTACTATGTATTTTTAAAAAATCTGATTGCTTTCAACAGAAGGGTTCTTCCTCAAGATAAGCACTGAAAGGCCATGCTAACAGCACCTCAAAATGAATGTATCATTTTATGGTGTACAAATGCATTTATATGTAACTCCTCATTTAACATCATTTATTTACAGAAGATACAGGTCTTAGTATCCATTTGCCATGGGGATATGAGCTTCCAAAAGATCCATCAGCAATTTCTTTCATGTAGGAGAATTGTAAAGCACAGCACTCAACTCAGGCCATGGCTTGGGGGGGGGGGGGGGGGGAGAAGGGCGCATACCAAAATTTTGTGAGATTTATTTAGAAAACTAAGTTTACCTTACCTGATAAAAGCCCAATAAGTAGCATCAACAACCAGCCAGAAAAAGCATCACTCACACTGTGAATTAAGGCCCATGTTGATTCTTTGCTTTTATTGGTAATCTAAGGAGAAATGAGAAAACATCGGTACATTCTACACACACAGTTGCTTTTTCACCTCCAAATGTGCAATGGAGTAAATAAATGCAAAGACAAATATACTTATTGGGAATAGAAATAAATTTGGAGTTATTTCTCAAATAACTTTGGCTGACCCAACATAACCAAGAACTTAGAGGTTTATTGAACATTGACTACTGATCCCCACCACCGTCATCTACAATATCAAAATGCCTACAAATATCTTATTCAGGCCTCCCCCATTCAGCTGCTGATTTCTTAAAGCTTCAGTCTATTTTGCTTACTAAAGTGGTCTTTTTCCACCCTAGACATCAGATATTTCAAAGATGGTCTCCTGACTCATAGCAAATAGTTTGATTGTTTTTTAAACAATGAACAAACATAAGCTTATTTGAGTGCTGAAAGTACAATCTGAGGTGTACTATCCAGAGCTATGCTTCAGGTCAGGCAAATCTTGATCAGGTCAGGCAAGACTTGATCCCCCAATACTAGATGATATTAGGAATGCATCTCTTTATTTTCAAAAACTTGCTGGGAATATCTGAGGCTATCAAGAGATACAGAAAGTTTTACCTTTGAGGCCCTATCCTTGTCAATTTAACCCTTCAGTGTCCACATTTCAAAACCAAGCATTGTGACAGCTTTATCATTGGTAATTCCTCCTTCTCTGTACCTCTATTTCTTACCTTTGAAATTATGACTTAGCCACTCCAGCCACTCTATCTTTATCTACAGCAACATCACAAATAATTATAATAAATTATTATTTTAAAAACTTAAAGTAGTTAAAATTTTCATTTTGACCTATAATTTCAAGTTTCCAGTTCAGTAGTGAAAGTAGGTGAGGTGACATTTTCCCCTGTGACAGTGTTTACATTGAACATTTCATAAACAAATTTTAATTTATTTTGAATTATTGGCATAATTTGTCTCAGATGCAACCATTTTAACATAATAGGAAATATGCTCTTGTCATATCAACAGATTACTTTTGCAATGTGAATAGCATTGGATATGCAACTGTTGAGAATTTGAACTCTGAATTACAGAGAACAGAAATTCAAAAGCCATACAATTCCAAATTTAAAGCCTACATGATGAATTGATAAAATAAATAGAATACGAATGTGCTCCCAAATATCAGAAACCTTTTTTTAAATTTATCTTCATTGTTGAAAGTAATTACAGATGTCTCCTCCCCACCACCATTGACCCTCTATAGTTTGTACCTTCTCTCCACCCCAGGTCTCCATCACACTATTGTCTGTGTCCATGGAGACATACATATATGTTCTTTGGTTTATAGAAATCACCCTTTTAAGTTAGGATAAGAAAACTCCTATGGGAGTTTTCAGTGGGATTATCACAAATCCAAGGATTACAAAGGAATTTCTCAAAACCTGTACTTGGGACAACCTGACTCCTGGGTTCTGGTGGTCAGGAGAACACCAACCAGGAACTAGGAAAGGCTTAAGAATGAAAATTGGCCCGGCCAGCATGGCTCAGTAGTTGAGTGTCAACTTATGAACCAAGAGGTCAGAATTCAATTCCTGGTCAGGGCACATGTCCAGGTTGTGGGCTCAATCCCCAGTAGGGAGCATGCAGGAGGCAGCCAATCCATGACTCCATCTCATCATTGATGTTTCTGTCTCTCTCTCCCTCTCCCTTCCTCTCTGAAATCACTTTAAAAAAAAGAATGAAACATGATCTGCTTTGGAGATTTACTGAGAAAGAAAAAATGAACTTGGGGCAGAATGGGGTCATCTTAAAAATCAAAAATTAAATTCAGAGTCAAAGCATAAGTAGTAAGAAGGAAAAAATAATAATACCTATTGGTGGTTGAAGAAATGTCTCCCCAGAGGATTATCTACTGAATCAGGGTCACTGGGGCTGGGGTCCTACCTTAATAGTAAGCTCTCCATGAGCTCCTGATACAAACTAGAGATTACGATTCCCTCACTTAAATGATACACAGCAACAAGTTCAAGGCAAATGACCTTGCTGGACTGCTCTGAAAAGTTTTCATCATACTTTGAAAAGTGGAGAAATTCTCTTGTCATATTCACAAGAAGCTGTCCTACCCATAAGTACCATCTATTATCTATCATGTTAAATCAATGCCCTTAATTTGAATTTGATTGGTCTTGTGGTATTGTTTGAGCCCAATGCATAAATTTATTTCGGTTTTATGGTTGTACAAGCGCTACGAGCACAAAAAGTTTATCTTGTATGCTTTAGTAAATACTAAAGCTCTGATATTTTTTTCTTTTATTTCTTTGAAAGGAACCCATTTATTTTTCTTAGTTCTAAAAATCCTGCTTCAAGGGGAAACCATAAAAGGGAGACGAAATGAGAAAGGAGGATCTTTGAATTTTATTTTGGTCACTCCCACCAAGTTTGAATAGGTATTTATACCCATTTTAGGCTGCAAAGATTCTTCTCAAGCACTTACTATAAAAAGAAAAATCATCATTAAGCATAAATTCTTTTCAAAATCATAAAAGCACATTAAAATAAAGCACTACATTGCCAATAGAAACCAGATTCAGCCACATCCAGGGCTGAAGGAATGACATATAAAGTATATCTTCAATTTCTTACCCTGGTGTTTCCTAACACTCATGTACCATTTTTCACCTTACCTCTCGATGCCTATCCCGGTCTCGAGACTTCTCTCTCACCCAATCAATTGTATTGAAATCATCATAGGTCCCCACACCAGGGATTGGCTCCTCCAAGAAATCCATCATCCTAGTTGAAGAACCTATTCCTCCACCATTGTATGACTTGTCCTCTAGATTGAACAGAAAACAAGACATTAGTACTTCAGTCATTTTTAATATCTCTTTTCTGTGCACCAATAGGTGAGCTCTTAAACTATCAGAAGACTACAGTTAGGGTGTGCTGACAAAGCAATAAAATCAATCACCTGGTGAGAACTTTCATCACATTCAGAGGTTTCAATGGTCTAGGCACAAAATGAGTGTCTTCAGGCAGTGTAAATGGAAGGGGACAGATGAGAGTGGAAGTACAAAGGGCGAACTGACAGGAGTTGAAGTGCAGTGGGAAAGGATTTATGAAACAAAAGACGGAGCTTGGAGCAGCTGAAGTATTTCAGTTTCTGTTATGGAAGGGAGACAAAGGGTCAAAGACCTTTGTAGACATATCACAGCAGAAAGCATTTTACATTTATGAGGCAATAATTCAATCGTGGGAGGTGGCTTTTGCCTGAATGGGGACTCCAAAGAAAGCATGTCAGCCTCTTCAAGCGTTAAGCTGGCTGGAATGTACATGTTTTCTTTCAATAGGTAGAAGACTTTGATCCCTGATGTAACAGGCTTGTAGAAACTTTTACTGAGTATATCAGAACAATCTAAGATTTATAAGTAGAGATTTAAAGATTTATAAGTAGGGCTCCGCAAAGATGTCCCTCCTTGGTCCTTCAATCCTTAAGAAACAAATCCATTTTTCCAACACAGCCTTTTATCTGCTCTGCCTTTAGCATTTCTATCATAATTATTATGAAAATACTTTATCTTCTTTTCTGGACTAGAAGCTCTTTGAAGGCAGCCCTAGATCTGACTCATCATTGCCTTCTCCAGCATATATTATCTGCCCAAGCCTTAATAAATATCAGCTAAACCAAAGTTTGTTTAATAAACAGTGGTAATAGGGGAGAAGTAGTCAAACTCAGAAGTTGTACTCATACAAGGTTACTTAGTATGGTTTAACAAACTTATTCAAAATATTTCCACAATCCTCTGGTGAAACAATATTTAGCTTTTAAACACAAAATGTAAAATAATACTCAAGTATTTATGAAAATGAACTCTGAGGAAAAATGCCGAGTAATGCTATAATTGAACTCAGCCTGAGCTTACATTTGCAGCATCAACCTTGGCAGATCCAAAGCTTTATCTAGACTATTTGGTGACGAATCCCTCTGCAGAGAAAGTCGAAGTGGCCTGAACTGACCACACACACACACACACACACACACACACACACACACTCCTCTTATCCACAACCCCATTTTGACTCTAAACTTCTAACAGACAACTTCAGCACTCTGATGGGGTCAATTTGAATTAACACCCAAGCTATATCTGGTTTACAAATTGGAGTCTTCCGAATACCTAATTCAGCATATCTTTCACAAGCAACACACATATCTGAAAGAAAAAAACTCTGCAGAATCTAAGTCATATTGAAGGTAAGGCTGGAGGTGGTGTTGGACTGGAGGAGATGAACAAGTTAATCTTAAAACCCTAATCAAAGTCCTTTCTCTATCTTCCAGCCTACCTGGCTGTAAAATGGTTGGCTGCTGAATCACCAGTCCAGCGTTTTCTATCATGTTAGTGGCATACTGATAAAGATCAGTGTTGATGTGCTGTTTGAGAGCTTATAGGGAAATAGCCGGCTAAGAAATGAGGGCAGGAAGAAAATAAAGTATGTGAGGAAGGGGAAAAAAGACAAGCTGTTTCAATTCTCAAGACAAATGCTGACATGAACACAGGACACCAAAAAAATCAGACATTTACTTTTTAAAGCGGGTTAATGCTTCAGTGGAATTTGCTCTGGTTGAAGAGTGTCCCTTTCAGGAGAAATTAAATAAGGATTTTGTGAAATTGATTTTTAAAAGCAATAGCTATCTAATGTTACACTATTAACAATTAACCCCCCCCCCCCAGCTCAAAGGATATTAAGACAACACGAAAATCTGCAACAGCTTCCTAACAGAAATGAAAGAATCCTCTTACATCACTAGGTAACATGAGCACTGCATCATCCTTCTTTGTAGATAGTCTCCTGTTATAAATGCAAATTGTCAGGCAGCTCTTAAAGAGCAGGCAGTCATTAGAATCTGACAACAGACTGCTTGTGATTCTCCAGATTCCCTTCTCCCTGGGGTCAAGCTTCTGTGCCTGGCCAGGCTCAAATCGGCTTACCTTCAATTACAGCTTTCTTTTTCTCTGCCTCAAGGAAGAAATAACCTTGGCAGCCCGCATTTGGTCATTTAGGTTGAGAAGCTTTTACAGAAGGAGCCCCGACATAAACTGCTTTAGAGGGGCTCTTGCTGCTTTCTCTGCCTTTCACAGGAACAAACACCACCTAAAGAACCACCAGTGTTCCCCGGCAGTCAGAGTGTGATGTCACTGTTGGAATCACGTGACCAGACCCTTGGACCAGCCTTGGAGAAAGGAAGATTTTTTAACCAAGCACAGCAGCCTTAAAGATGTAGTCTCATAAAACAAAAGCCATCAGAGTAGGGGCAGTCAGGTCAGGTCAGTTCAGAAAACTAGGGTGCATTTCCATCTGATTTATTTCACTTAGTGTAATACCCTCAAGGAAGGACAAAAATCACATGATGTCACTTACGTGTAGAATATAAAGTGAAACAAAACAAATGAACACACAAAACAAAAACAAACTCATAGATACAGAGAACAGACTGCTGGTTACCAGAGGGGAGGGGAAGGGGGAGGGCAAAATGGGTCAAGAGGGTCAAATATATGGTGATGGATGGAAACTAGGTTTTTGGTGGTGAGCACGCAGTAGGACATACAGCTATCGAATTATAATGTTGTACTCCTGAAACTTTTATAATGTTATAAACCATGTTACCACAATAAAAAAAATTTTTTTAATGAAAACTGGGGTCCAGACAAGTTTTAGTCTTCAGACCACATTTAGCAGAAAATCCAAGAAGGCAAAGTAGAAATCTCCAAAAGCATTGAGTTACAGGGATCCTAAGTAAAAAAAAGGAAGAGAGGTAAATACAGAAAAGGCTTTTTTTAAAATGCATTGCATAGCAATAACTCAGATAAAATTTCACAAATATTAACACTGACTGAAATCCCCAGACCTAAGAGGGTACATAGCATGATTCTTTTCATACAAGCAAAACCAGGCAAACCTAAATTACATTGTTTTTGTATAGGATACAAATTTAAGTGACTATATTACAAAGAGAAGCAAGAAAGTGATGAAAGTAAAAACAGTGGCTACCCAGAGAAAGAGAGAGGGTTGTCATCTGGATGGAGCACATGTAAGGGTGTAGCTTCTGGAATGCTTGTAATTTTTCTTTTCTTTTTTAAGTTGACATCATGTATTGAGTCACTTTTATTATGTACTATGTTAGCAGTTGCATATAGCAGTTATTTAACATATTCTCTTCATCCATTTACTCAACAAACATTATGTAACTTATAGCCAGTTTATGACCAAACTGAAAATTTTTCATGTTGGCTATTATCATATTTTTAAAATTATCTTTATTGTTGAAAGTATTGCAGATGTCCCCTTTTCCCCCAATTGACCTCCCTTCTCCCCATTCCCATCCCCTCCCCAGGCCTTCACCCCACTATTGTCTGTGTCCATGGTTTATGCATATTTTCATAGAAATTTGATTGATCTCTTGTGCCTCCTTCCCTCAGAGGATTCTCAATCTGTTGCATGCTTCCATGTCTCTGGACCTGTTTTGTTTGTCAGTTTATTTTGTTCATTAGACTCCACATATGAGTGAAGTCATGTGATACTTGTCTTTCTCTAACTGGCTCATATATTTCACTCAGCATAATACTCTCTAGGTCCCTCCATGCCATCTCAGAGGGTAGGAGATCCCTCTTTTTTACAGCTGCATAGTATTCCATGGATCTGAGCAGTGATTACCTGAGTGCTAACATTATAATTATTCTTTACACTCTACACATGTTTCATGCCTTTCTATGTAAAAATCATAATTAGAGGAAATAAAAAAATAAAAAATGAACTGCACATGAACTGGCTATACAAGGTCAGTTCTTTAAAAGTACCTAATAACTTTGAGCCCTAGCTGGTTTGACTCATTGGATAAAGTGTGAGCAGAGTCTGTGGACTGAAGGGTCCAGGTTCAATTCTGGTCAAGGGCACATACCCTGGTTACAGGCTCAATTCTCAAAGGGGCATGCAGGAGGCAGCCAATCAATGATTCTCATCATTGATGTTTCTATCTTTTTCTCTCTCCCTCCGCTCTGAAATAAAAACATATTTAAAATAAAATAAAGTAAAATAAAATCACCTAACAACTTTGAAAATCCAGAATACAGTTAAGAAAATGAGTTGTTCCTTGGTATTAGTGCTTTAGCCAGAAATAAACATAAAATCAGATCTCATTAACCCAAATTGGGTAAAAGTAGCTATTTTAGCCATGAAAATGAATTCACTAATACCTGTGCACAATTTAAAAGGCTTTCCCGCCCTAGCCTGTTTGGCTCAAAGGATAGAGTGTCAGCTTGCAGACCAAAGGGTCCCGTGTTTGATTCTAGTCAAGTGCACATACCTTGGTTACAGGCTTCTTCCCGGGCTGGGCCCTGATTAGGGCTCATACAGGAGGCAACCATTTGATGTATTTCTCTCACATGATATTTCTCTCTGTCTTTCTCTCTTACACTCTCCCTAAAAATCAATGGGAAAATATCTTCATGTGAGGATTAACAAAAAAGAGAAAAAAAGAAAGGCTTTCTCTTTCTTGGCCCTATTCTGAGAACTATTTTTAAGCAGGTCTAATTAATTGTACAATAAGACCAGGCCAGTAAAGAAGAATCAAATTGCCATTTCCCAACTTCTTAAGTGAATTCGTAGGATGGCCACTGTTAAACATTAATCCAATTAGCGTGCTCCAATAATCAGACCTAAACGGAGGGCTTTAAAATGTGGGGTTACTCTAATCAATTCTCAAGGTCCAATACATCCTGAAATGTTAATACAACAAAACTTTATGAAATGTAAGGAACTTCAGGAAACCTAGGCGAC